CGCGCGACAAGATGGATCCTAAGATCAAGAATAGGTGAGATATCATACCAGGAGAGACTTCAGACTTTGGACATGCTGCCGCTGTGTTATGACAGAGAAATCCAAGACTTGGTCTTCTTCTATAAGGCACTATACGGTTACGTAGACTTAGACATAGGCAATTATGTTAGTTTTGTTAGTCATGATCGTTCTCGACTAACCTTAAATCCTAGTCTATTACTTCAAGTGCCGTTATGTAGAACAACTACGTTTAAAAACTCTTACTTTAATCGAACAGTTCATTTATGGAATGTAGTGTGTAGAACTGCATCACCTAATAGCTTCGTGACATTATTTACTTTTAAGAACTTTCTTCGTCGGACTTATTTGTTTTTACGTAATTCAGTTTTTGACGCAGACATGCCATGTACCTGGTCTCTTGTTCGAGACTGTCCATGTCACAGAAACTAAAATAATGTATAGTTCTTTGATTGAAGTAAAGTTCGTTTCGTGTACATGCCTAAGTCACATGTTTTCAAAACCAAGTTAGTTTTATTTTCCGTACAAATTTTCCAAAATCTTCATGCATTTTACGTATTTCGAGATCCTGTGGGTATGCGCAAATCGAGCTTTACCTCAACTATAATTTATAGTGTAATGTAATTTTTTGTGTAAAGTTTGTAAGGGAGGTGCCTCGCATGGGCTTTTTCTGACCCGTTTGCACCTTTCCTTTTGGGAAACACCTATTTATCGTTATTGTTAGTATTCCCAATAAAGTTATAAAGAAATAAAGAAGGTCACCCTCAACCCCATAGACTCACACAAATCAATGTATTATACAGTGTATTGAACAATGACTATCATGGGGATCTACTACCCCTTGGGTAAAGTCTAACATGGGGGAAACCACGATCCCCTGATGACATATATGTCATTTACCGGCTGCGTGGTCCGGATGAGAAAAACTGTGCCCGAGGTCTTGAAAACGGCCCGAGCCCGAAGGGCTCAGGCCGTTTTGAAGATGTAAAAATTTATATTTAGATTTTCCGTCGTATCAGGATTTAATTTTATATAATCATTTAGGCCCTATTTTGTTGGCTTTGTTCAAAAAATGAACCAAAAATGCCAGAACCTGTGCAATTATTTCAGCCACTAATTTGCAGTTCTAGCTAGTTTCTCATTCCTTTTGTGACGTCCCAATGGCTGTTGTAGATAATTAAATGTCATTTCTTATATTTGTTATCAATATGTTTAGTTGGAAAATTTAATAAAGAAACAAGATAGTGAAATCCAAAAGCTGAAGACGCAGTGTAAGTATTTTCAAAATATATTCGATGGAAACTTTTTTGTCAAAGAATAAATTTCTCCTACGGAATCAAACCATATTTTTTAAGCCGGTTTTCTCCTTCAACCGTACCGAAACGTATCAAAAACGTTTTTAATTTTCAAAATTTCGTGAATATTGATTACTTAGTACTTCCGCAGTACGCCAAAAGGTTGACTTGCGACGAACTTTTTATTTTGATACGCGAATACACCCGGAAGTACGTTAATATATATAACCTCTTTTCAATCTGCGCATGCTCACTAGTACTTTTCGCTACGATACGGGTGAAGTGGAAAACCGGCTTCGAATTCAGAGAGCTTAAACATAGGACGTTTTTGACAATACGAACGCCAATCAGAAGTCAATCGACGTTTTGTTTGATATAACGAACGTGATATTTCATTAACTGGCGTTCTTGATTTCAAGCAAGAACTGCTTATACGTCATCATTCACCGTCATTCCATCAATAACGGTTGTGCTGTCAAAAACATCGCTTGTTTAAGCTCTCTAATAATTCAAAGGGAAACAAAAATTCTGTTGTCTCGAGCGATATTCGCATCTTCAGGTTCAACGGGTTTTTAAACAATTTGAAATAATTTGTTTTTCACTAAACTATAGAGAAACTCTCCGGAACCAGAAATCCCTCAGCGTGAAGATTATAGCCTGCATGGTATCAGAGCGTAATAAAATACCCCATGCATGTTTACAGCGCCCTGATAGTACACATATATAGGGTATCCGCTAAGGATTACCCGACAGCCAGGCCGTCTACTATGGAGTGCATGATGGGCTACGTAAAGATAAAAAACTTATTACAAACTCTCACGTGCATTCTCTATTTTCATAATGATAGCTCTCATCTATTAAATTAATTTAGTTCTGCTCAAAGAATGCTTCGGATATAAATGGCTGAGAGAAAGCAACAGAAACCAGAAATATTCTCGGCTCGAATACAATTGTGACAAAAGTCTTTCAGGATGGTACAGATTTGGAGGAGGAGCTGGGATCAAAATACCGACAACATGTGTATTTAAAAACAGATGTGGAACTCGTGCTACAGGTTGGATGAATGGTGCTCACCCTACAGTTGCTGATGGCAAGGTGACCAGGAAAGTGTGTTACAATTGGTCTGATAATTGTTGTCTCTGGTCAAATAACATCGAGGTTGTTAACTGTGGACAGTATTATGTTTACAAACTAAGCGCTCCTTCAGCTGGTTGTACTTTAAGATATTGTGGATCAGATAATTGATGCAGATGTTCCACGTATACACATTATAATGATTCATTTATATTACTCACTAGGGACCTTGCACTTGATTTGAACTGAGACTAAAGACTTCGTTAGACTGGCTTAACGTAAATGATCCAATTAATTAACGCCCACTCTGGAATAAACGTCTTGTGTCAAACGTTGTCCCAGTCTATTAAATTCATCTGATCCAGTAAACGCCCCCTCTCTATATAGGCGTTTAGTTGGTTTGTAAAAAAATATTAGAGTAAACGTAAGAACAAACGCTTCTCTCAAATAGAAACTTCTTTTTTGTAACAAAAATCTTCCTAGAGGTAGTAAATGCCTCGGCGTCTTTCAGATCATTTATGGTATCCTACTGCTATGATTATTTGTTGTTTCGGTTTTGTTGATTTTTTTATCAGTATATAGATATGCAAACAGTTAAAATTGGAAACAGTTCATAAGACGTAAACTTCATTATTATGATTGTAAGAAACAGTTCATAGGACATAGACTTCATAATAAACATTGTAGTATTAGCAAAGTGAGCGAATACTCATTAAGGTTACAGACGAGTTTTGTATGACAAGTTCTTATAAGGCAAGTTTTATTTGGCAAATGTATGTGTGTAGGTGCAACAAATTTTCTGTGACAAATTTTTGGTTTTCTTACCGCCACGGTGGCTATAAAGGCCATTTTCCGCTATAGGGGTAATTTTCCGCGCGGAGCGGAATTTCTCTTTGCCTTCTCTAATTAGTTCCACCCGAGAAATCACAAGACAAAGAAAAATTCCGCTCCGCGCGGAAAATTCCGCCTAGTGGAAATCGGCCTTTATAGTGAGCTTGAAGCAAGCGACGTTTTGGGCAACACGGACATCACCTGTAAATTTGTATAACTCATTTTGGCGGCATTTTGCATCGTAGGCATAGCGCTCGCGCAGGGGCGCCGGAGCAAATTTTTTTTCCGTAGACAGTCGGACTCCTCATTGATAGTCGGACGCATCATTGACCCGCGCCCTTAAACAAAACATTCAGCGGATACTCTTCACATCTTGTGTGGTGATCACATCTGACATATTTTATTAAGTTATATTCGCCATTCCCACTTGCTTTTCCTTGCTTTTGTAACCTGTTTTTTGTAACTCTTTTTGGAGCGATTGCAGAATACCCGTTCACTTTTAAGCTATGCCTTTAAAACAACATGTATACGATGTATTAATACATCTATATTTATTCTCAATAGATTAATAATAAATAGATTGATAGATTAAAATCCCATGGTGGTAAAGGTAGCTACGAGGCATACAGTGACTTCAAATTCTCATGCTATACTGGTAGCTCTATATTTTAGTGGATACGTGGATACGCAGTCAAATAGTCAAGTAGTTATTTTGAGATTAAGGCGACAGTTAGCATTAATAGATTAAATTCTCATGCTATAGAGTGCTTAAATGTGGTGTAATATGTAAATATGTTCTTCACAACCGGACATTGGTGTTTGACAGATTATGATTAATTAGCGTCGCTGGGAGAAAAAAATTATATTATAAAGCATATTAAGCATAATATTAAACATTAAAAGTCTTTATTTTCTTCATTAAAAGTCGTTTTTATTTCCTTTATATGCTCTTTATAGTATCAATCTGCCGGTAATATTGTGTATGTTAGAACGAGGCAATAAGATCTGGAGTGGTATATAGCCTACGTATCCAGGGAAATAGTGGCAGGGCTACATGATATGATATTACTATAGTGGACAGGTATTCTGCAATACTTCTATCTTATCCTGATTCTCTTCAATTGGGATGATATATTATAGTTTTAACTCGCAATAACAGTTCTTGAGGATTTTCGGAACCAGAAAAACAAGTTTGTAGATCAGTGCTATGGCATCGCGAAGTAAATCGTTCATCTTTCTACACGTGGTCGAAGAAGAACAACGTGGAGTGATGGATATATGGTGCGCCAGTGGGTTACGAAGGGATTCATCGATAAAGCGCGGAGGCCTGGACGCGGATCAATGATGCGTCCGACTATCAATGAGGAGTCCGACTGTCTACGGAAAAAAATTAGCGGCGCCGGAAGCAATGTGAAGCGGCGGGGGCAGCCATTTCAAAAGGGCACTTCATTTTTCTGGGCAGCAATATTTGCTAAAACTTTACTGTATGGATATTCGATTACTTGTAGCTATTATGGGTCGGCAAACTTCGACATTAATTTTGAACAATTTTATTCGTTGCACCGCCTAAAGGCGCAAAATAAAATCAGTAAACGCAGTGGCGTAACTCCTATGAGCTCTACCCGGTAAGAGCCGGGGGCACCCAGGCAATCGGTTATCGGGCTATAGAACGAAAGGCAAACATGTCTATCGAAATTCCGAGACATTTAGATCTGGAAGAGCCGGTAAGGTATTATCTGAATTATCAAGATATGCAGGTATCTATATGTAGTTTATGGCTTTAAAATATATACTACAGTAAAGTTTTTGCAAATTATAACAATACAGATTGATCATCTTGTGATATTTAGCATGCAAAAATAGTGCAAATGGCCGTGAATGGCAAGCATGTTTAGGTCTCCAGCTTGACTCCGGTCTTGTCCATAATATGAGCCCAGTGGCTAACTTAGGAACTCACGATACGGAAAATTGAAGCATTTTCGAGACCCATCGACAGAGCCGTAGCTAGACACGATAATTACGGAGGGTGTATATTCATATATTCATGTTTACATACCGTAAAAACAATCGATTTCAAAAGCAATCCGTCGGGTAGAACACGAATATATGAATATACACCCCCTCAATAATTGTTCTAGCTACGGCCCTGCCCATCGAATTCCAACAAACAGGTAAACAAATTTTCCACTAGGCGCAATTTTTCTTTCTCTTTTCTAATTAATTCACCCCCAGCAATCGCAAAACAGAACAAATTCCGCTTAGTGGAAAACCAGCTAAAGAGAAGAATGGAAAAGTTGCAAAATTCATGCACTCGTTTTAATGTGGTGAAAGAACAAGAAAATACAATGTGGGGGTGTTAAAGTTAATATCTGATCATATAAGTTAGTTTTTCAAATGAATTCATGTTAAATACGAGTGTTTGTCGTTTAGTGTTTGTATACAGTGTTAAAGTTGGTATTTTTTGCCAACCTTTGGGAAATAATATAAATGATGATGCAACGCTATGCACTGTGTAACATGCACTTCATGTAATACGAGTTAATGCATTAGTAAGTTTTAGCACAAAATAAAGATCCACGCAGAAGTGCTATTTACGTCGGAAGCTTTGAAGATTCTGTTCTCGCGCATGTCACATTACGCATGTTGGCCGCCATTTTACTAGCCAGTCAATGACATTTTCTGGCCAATAAACACGCTGTACTGGCTGGCTGCTCCGCCTAATTCTGGCCAGTAAACTGCATATTTTAGCATGATAAAGAAACGAGGACTCGTTGCACCGCTGAGTGGCCCTTCTGCTACTGATCTTTTATTCTGAGGTTTTAGTGTAGAATATTAATATATGAACTTTTCAGCCGGCTTTATTTTTCAACCGGGTAGGTAAGCGTTGGAACTATGTCTTCGCCCAGCGGTTCCGCGCTTGTGTTTCAAGATCCGCCATGTAAAGTGTAGTGAAATGTATAGTCAATATTAATCGTATATTAAAATCATAGCCAACTAATTAAGCGTCTGCAGAGGAGAGAGCGTCAGCCTAGTTATTTTTAAACGATAGGATATTTCAAGGATATTTTAGTGTGGATATGCCATGCACTTGGTGACTCACACGCTATTGTTTCTTCCATACTGTATCATGTTTGCCAACTCGAACCATAGTATCTAAAAATAACTCGATTAATTAAATGGTTTATTTGACTAATAAGTAAATACATTAAATACACTCTTCCAGTCCCCCACAGCTTCAATCACGGCTATAGCACTCTTGTTCACGTTCTTATTCCGGCTCTTGCCTTTCTTAGAGCTCTTGTTCGACTTCTTTGACTGGGCTTTGTAATCATTTACTTAAACCAGAGTAGCGAGCGAAACATGAATATATAAACAAATTGCCCTTTTCTTTAATTTAAATTAAAGATCTTCAGTCGTCATCAAAATATTTGAGACAAACCCCCTTACGCCATTCCAATGTTGTTTTGTGCTGTGATATTGTTTAATTTAAATATCATAGTGTCACATTATATTTATTTTACAAAGATAATTGCCTTTCAACGTTGAAAATATGGGAAGGAGTCAACGTTGAAAATAGGGAAAGGAGGAGCTAGTCGATTTCAAAAGTCTCAATATATTTTGTGGATGTTTGTGGTTTAAAATCCAAAATTACTAATGAAAATCCTCACAATGTTTATTTGAAACCGATTCACGACTCTCACTCAGTATATTGTTATATTCAATTAAATTGAAAGAGCATAATGGTCGCGCGCGACACGTCATGTAGGGAAGACACAAACGATAAAAGTTCCGACGCGAGTTGCTTTGTCTGATGAATAACAAAACCTTCAGAACCGAGCTGAAACACTGCTGTTTATTTCCTGGGAAAATGAGCCTGCACGTGTACTGAGCGACTTCGTGCGTTTGATATGTATGTCGTCATCATCGTTCCCAGAGCCTCTCAGCTCACCACGTGGTACGAAGGTACATAAGTGAGTGATTGTTTTGGAATTAATCAGAAGCTTCTGAAGTCGTTGGGAGTAAAAGCACAACATTTTCTCGAGTGACTTTTTGCAGGTTAGTGTGAATTTTCATAGATATAAGTTTATCTATAATATCAGGCTAGACAAACTTACGCAGCAGTTATGACTTGTACTAAAGCCTAGTTTCCATTTTGTTGTAACAGTCGTGGGCAGATAAAGGTAGTTGTTGTGATAGAAGTGTTAATCAATCTATTGACGGTTTATATATGTAGATGGAACTTTCGAGGCAAATTTTGTATACATATTTCAAACTCAACAGGAGCTGGCTTTACGGCTAGAATTGCCAGAATCTGCAGCCGCAATGCTCTGACCAACAGAGTTACACAGAGTTCACTTGCCGAACATCAATCACGAGTTCACGTATATATACTAAGGTGATATAAATGTACGTACATGGGTAAATATTCATGATTTGGGGCATTTCTAGTTCCTGCGAAATATCATACATTTTTCTGCGGGTAATGCAATCATATGGCCATTGGCTACTTAGCTATAGAATTCGGGGGCGACAAATAGACTGATTTACACTGATACATCACACAAAAGACAAAAAATCTCAGACCAACCCTCTTGGCCAGACTCCTTTCGTCGCACACTTTTACCATCCGCACGAATACGTGCCCTGGAGACTAGGCTGTTTCTGGAGTATTTGACATTGTCGGGCATGATAGTTATAACCAAAGAGAAACCAGGTTTTATTCTAATAAATTGAGAGAATGAGATTGAATTAAGTCAGAGATTTTTGTCGTGCGAGTTTGTAGATTTCCTGTTCCACAAGAGTTCAGATATACAGTAGGTTTTGCGGGGAGACATGAAATAACGTTCAGTTTGGTAACAGGAAACGGAATAAATAAAAGAAAATGGCAATAGTCAGATTTCAAGAAGTCGTAGGATGCTAACTGAGGAAAATCAATGAACGACGTATATGGTAGTTAGATGTTTAACAGAAATAAAGAAGTATATAGTATAATTACAAATATACACTTTTTGCCTTTTGGTATGGGTATATATGATTAATCAAGCATGCGAATTTTCATGCCGTGTCTATTTGTTCGTATTTTAATATAGGTTTTGGAAAATCGATGTAAATATGTCATAGTCGCACGTTAACATTTGCCCTCATTATTTTTCATAAAGAAACTACTGGCACGTCATGAATTTTGCTTTGGTTCTGTCGCTGTTGTACTGCGGCCACGCGTTTGTTGAAAGTGTGAAGCAGGTATGTTTCTGCCCATTTATTGAAAATCTAAGCATAGTCCTCGTTTGAAATTTATCGGTGAAAATCGCTTTTGTTGGGAAGTGGATAGACAAACGGGTCCAGGGGCAGCCCCCACTCCCAGAAAATCTTGAAAGCTATAGCCCATGACAGGGTTCGTACATATCAGATAATCAGAGAGAGTCAAATTCAAGGACTTTTCAAGGACATTCAAAACCATGTATCAGCAAATTCAAGCACTAAATGCTGAACCGAAGAAGGCGTTAGAAATCAGTATAATGTCACGTTGAATTGTCCAAAACGCAACTTTAATCAATTTCGAACAGCTTTGTCAGATATGAACGTGCAAAATCAATTCAACATAATGGCCGTTTTTGAATGTCAAACCGCTCAGAAAATATTCATAAACTAAAGCAAGAAAAATAAAAAACTTTCAAGGGTTAGTATTTCTTTACAAATTCGAGAATATTCAAGGCCTTGAATTTTTGTTTTCAAATTGAAAGAGATTCAAGGACTTGCAAGTTTTGTACGAACCCCTGCTCAATGAAACGGCTTTCCTGCTTCTGGGAAGGTTAAACAGAAAGTAGCTCATTTTGGCATGCAAGAAATAGCTCATCTTGTATTCTAATTTCTCCGGTTCCGCCGCTGGCTACGGAGGTATTGTGATACCCCCACCCGTGCAGCTGGGCTTTTTAGGCGCCAAATTTCGACAAATCAGAGTGCATGAAAAGTAATAGTCACTTCACAATTTCTATTAATAAGGAAGTCCCTTAGTGGACCTTTAGGGACTTTATTATTCAACATTAGTAATTGCATTCTTCAACGTAGGGTATTCCCGCACTGAATAGTTATGATCTTGGTTCGTGTAACGAGAACGCTCATGGTAAAGAAGTGTTGGTCAACGACAGATTAGATGAAGAAATAATTTTGATTTGTGTTAAAGATAAAGGTGTTTACCAGTGGAAGCCCACAGATGGTAAGTCCGGTCAAGGATTCAAAATTGCCTCGAGCACATATTTAGGTCTTTAACATAAATTTTGGACATGTCACGTTGGCAAAAGGTTCAATAGGCTCTTCCAAGATTAAAGACGCCATTTGAATTTATTGTTTTCACTATAATTGTGTTTGCACCCCCTGCAAATTTACGTATAGGAAATTGCATTGTGTTTGCACCCCTTGCGCTATTGTGTTTCATTATGGCGTTGTTAATCTTGGGAGGGTCTATTCCAACCAAGTATATCATATATTGTACATTTACATATTCTTTCTTGAGTAAGTTGGTGAAAACAAACAAAAGATAATATGATGTATAGAAAAGAATATTCTCGTTTTGGCAACAAGATTAAACAGGATCTTATTTAATATAACCAGTATAATAAGGTAATTTAATTAAAATGGTAAACTTCTGCTGTTTGCATATGGGAATGACTGAAATAACCTATGAAATATGGGAAGTACTTCACGCCTGTACTTTTTGGTCAGGAAAATGTATCTGAGCGGGCTAATGTGTGATGAAACCTTTATACAATCATACAACGAAATTAAATTTCTTCCAGTTCTCAATAGAGCATCATCAATCCCTTAGCCAGTGATGAAAATTGATCAAATCCACTCCTCAGATATAGGACATGATCAATCCTTTAATCCACTAGTACTTGGAGGTGATCGGAACTTTATCTATATCCAGTACTGGATCAAGTCACTTAATCAAAACGTTATCGAGTGATAGGACCTAATAAAACTTTCACCTAGTATTAAATAGAGCATGATCAACCCTTTTTTCAATGCTATAAGATTTAAACAAAACATTATTCATTCCTAAATGGAGCATCATCAATCCTTGATCCAGTCCTAGGATGTAATCAAACCATTATATCCAATCTTGAATATGACATCAGGATCAATCCTTTATTGAGTATCAGGTGTTTTATCAAATCTATTGGACTAAGACATCGTCATGATTTTATTACAGAATAAACAGATACCGAATTAGTACGATTTCTTGTTAGCGCCTATGATGTGGCGTACCGTTGCAGTGCTACCGCAATGTTCCTAGCCAGTGAACTTATGAAAGGCATCACCACTGAAAATATTCAAACTGACGGACGTTCAATAATGCCTCCTATATGCGCACTGGCTAAGAACCTGACAAGCTCGAGTGCATTTTGATGACGAGTCATTGCGAATCATAGTGTCACGTCTTCTTGGCTGCACGAGTCGTCCTATTAGTGTTTATTATGTGATATTATTCAGCCTTTGCCTCAGGATTTCATCAAAACATTTACAAAATGAAATGTTACATGCAAAGTAAAAGTTCCTATTCCTCTAGGCTCTATAAACACAGTTGGCGAATTTTTCAACCCTGGTCTTAATTGTTCTGATATCTTGGACAAGCTTGAAGATGCCAAAGATGGATTTTATTGGATCACTTTAAAGGGTTCAAATCCCATAAAGGTTGGAGTTTTTATGATTTTTTTATAAACCGTTTGCTCAATGTTTTGTTTATTAACCAAATTCTATCGATGAAATATTATTTCGTGCGTTACTCTGGCTCTGCATCGAATTTCATGCTAACTTGACCAGACAATACTTGATAAATATAAAACCAAGCCAAACTTGGCAAAAACTGCATAATCCTGGCTTATTAATCCAGGATTTCCTGCTTAAATCCACTGTGCAAAATACTAGTTAAACCGATTTAAAGATACATTAATTAATCACGAACTATACCAATGACAATAAACCTTACTGAAATTATGTTATTTTTGGAGATTAAGAGGGAAATTTTAACCATAAAGAATGTTTTGTTTTTTATCTTTCCTTAATTTTATCTTTTGTTCAGGTCTATTGTGATATGACGACAGATGGTGGAGGCTTCGTGTTGGTTGGTCGCAAGACTAATTCCATCACGTGGACCGTCCCCTCTAATAATATGACAGTTAAACCGTACGGTAAACCTCATTGGTCGAGTTCTCTGGGTGATGTACCAATTCTGGACTTCAGAGTGCAGATGGCGACCAAGGAGGATTTCAAAGCCACAAAGGCTCACTGGTAGGTTTCGAAAAGATCAAGCTTTGCGTATCACTTATGTCTTACACTATCAACAAAAACTTTTTAAGCTCTAACACGCTCATCTTGGATGGACCAAGGCCGTGTTCAGGGGGGTGATTTCTTTTTTTCAGGGGGGTGATTTCTTTTTAGTCTTTTTTCTTTCAGGGGGGTCATTTTTTTGGTGATTTTTCTTTTGGTGATTTCTTTTTTAAGTTGTTTGATCATAATTTTACTCAGTCACATGTGAGAAGAATATATTTCCAATTTGACGAAGCAAAATGCTGCAGGTTTCCTGTTACTCTTAAATTTTTCGTGTAATAGCATTGAACAAATGACGGATGTGACGGATAACCTTTACTGAACCTTAAAGAAAAACACATTGACACTGATTAACTTTAATTTAAATTGAGTCGAGCAAAAAATCCAAAACTTACAACAGTTATCTAATCAAAACATTGGCAATATGTGTCAAAGTACTATAGATTTCAATCAAAACGTCCATTGGAACAATTATTATAAAATAACATGTATATAACGCGTGCTCTAATTGGTCGAAACTCGTGTTTGGATCAGGCCATCCAAACACGGAAGACTATAGTGTTGTTGTTATTTTATAATACAATTACTCTATGGTTTCCGTGTTTGAATGGCTTGTTCCAAACACTTGGGAATGTTGCTCAAGTTAAGAAAAGCGCGCAAAATCACTCGCCTTCGACTCGTGTTTCGCGCGCTTTTCTTAACTCTTGCAACATTGCAGCGTGTTTGGATCAGACCATCCAAACACGGAAATCATAAAGTAATTGTATAATGATGCATAAATACTGATGGATGTGATCAAAGATCAGCTGGAATTGGAAACATTGCTTACTTCAAATATCTTCTAGAAAAGAGATTTTTACTACAAACATTGTTATACTCTAACACGCTCCAGCTTTGCATATCAGTTTAGCCTAAATTTAGGAACTTTACTTACACTACCTGCCAAAGTTTTCGTAAAGCCTGGTTTCCATATGGTCGTAAACCGGTAAACGTGTCGTAACAGTGTCGTAAATGTCGTAGAGATAAAGTCAGAGTCTACAGTTCTCTACGACATTTACGACACTGTTACGACACGTTTACGACCATATGGAAACCAGGCTTAAGTTCCAGAAGCTTAACTTGAATGCGCAAAAACCTCATTTAGTGTTCGGCACAGTAGTTAAAATGGAGGTTCAGATTTGAGTTACGCTACCGCAGCCATTAAGGAACCATTATATACCAGTTCAGATGCGTTTGGTATATCCCATTAGCTAATCAGATCGATGCGTACTAAGCCGGTGAGAGGTAGTGGTGGCGGCAGTGGAAGTCAAATCTGAACCTCTCTAATATATGTAAACTGCGAACTTGTGTAGATTATGCAACTATTTGAAAAATGCATGTAAAAAGGAATTCGATCTACTGCCCTTTGTCTGGACGTTTGTTACTTCCATGCAGTTTGACTCTGCAAAATACCTTAGTTGTTTTCCCGTTGCTCCTTTTTCCCTGTAATAGGCAATTCCAGCTTTTAGTTTATGCCTGCAGGGGATGATGGGAAGTAAGGTATCATAGTGCTGATTATGCTGAAAATTTGCAATAAAAGCTACCGAAACAACCAAAATATTTCAATATTTACAAGTATATGCTATCACTCCGTGTTTACACGGCCACCATTTCTACTTTTTCAGCATAATCAGCAATGTGATACCTTACTTCCCATCGTCCCCTGCACGCATAAACTAAAAGCTGGAATTGCGTATTGAACCAATTAACAATTGGACTGTTACGTTCACCGTAACAAGAAAAACTTAAAAACAGAAGAGTCTTATTTTTAAAATTATTTATCAATAAAAGAAAACTAAAAGAACGAAGAATCAGGATAGCTTAAACTTATCTGTCTATATTGACAATGACACAGCTTTGCTTTTCAGACTTTGTCCTTTCACACTTTATAATATAGTTCCTTTCTTTAAGTCTTTACGACGACAATAACTCCACAATATCAAATTCTTCTTCTCTAAACTTTTAATTCTCCCACTAGCTTAAGCTTTCGCTGCTTATATACTGTCCGCAAGATATTAATAGAACATTACATAATTACTATTTTTAGATATTACGTAAACGATAAATATAGAAAAAGCATGACTCAGCATAATTACGTAATGTCTTAAATTAAGAATGTTCAAGACGTGACTGACTTCACGTCACATGGACAACGAGGCCGAGTTGTACATGAGCGAATAGTCAACGAAGGCGTAGCTTGAGTGATTATTCGCCATAAACAACGAGGCCATGCATGTTGTCTAACTGTTTTACTATACACTCCTACTCAAAATACAAACTCCGGCACAATATGAAAAATTTAAATCAAATTTAAAACCATGTACGAGCGTTTAAATTATTTCTTTTAACCTTCGATGCTTCGCTCGCGGATTTTTTGTTTACTTTTCGCAAAGAACCCGGTGAATTGTTTTTTAAAGAATGTGCACAGCTCGTGAGCTTTGAAAAGATTTTAAAACAAGCCGAAAAACAGTCATGATATTAACGAAAAATACAAGCGAAGTTTTGAAAATGATAAGAGGACGAAACAAGACTTAAAAGTCCAGAACTTAAGATGTTTTCAAAACTGTAAACAATATGGTTTCCGGAAATGTTGCAGTGTTTGCATTAAAAAATCGTATAAAATGCACGAAAACCAATCCTTATGTCGTTGAAGTCGATTAAATACATAAAAAAATAACCATGTAAAACAATATTGTCACCTGAAATGCATAGATTTAACATTAAAATTTTATCGAAAAACTCGGAAGCTATAATTAAGGAAACGTCGAAGCACACAAAAAAACATTTAAAGGGGGGATGGAGCCTTAAAATATTACTGCTATAAACATAAAATCGCATTTTAGACATAAAACAGTTAAAAGACGAGAAAAACATATGATTAAGAAACTATACAAGCACCTGAAATTTGAAACGGTTTTGCTTGTCATATGCGCAAAAAATTTTCTCAGCAACTCCGTTTGTCTTCGTGTCACATTTTATGGCAAGTAACAGCAGATTTATGATTAAAATACGATTTAAATTTTGCTTCCAACCATTAAACGTCTTCAGACCATATTTTGTAGTCTTTTTGGTTCTTCGGGCAAAGAATTTTCGACCAAATTCCTCCAAAACCTTTGCAAAACAAACGTTTTCCGGAATCTTATTCTCTCAACCATGGACCGTTACATAATGGTCCATGGTTGAGTAGCCAATAAGAATTCTGGATTTGTAATGGTCGCTGGTTGAGTGTATAACGGATGACCCTTACTGAACCTTGTGGCCTTACTGAAACAAATTAATTCTAATTTGAATTGAATCGAGTATAACATGTCCAAAATTTACTACAGTTATATATATTTAAAAATATTGTCAATGTGTTAAGGTCCTATAGATTACAATCAAAACGCCCTTTGAAACAATTAATGATGAATACTGATGGATGTGATCAGAGATCCGCTGGAATTGGAAACATTGCTTACGTCAAAAATCTCCTAACAAAGAGCATTGCTAGTACAACGTTACGTTGCTCCAAATTTGGTTATGCTTATCACCATTTGGTTAAATTTGGATGGGTATGTTCTATGTATTCACATTACATGTTTTGGTACGTTTGTAAACTACATTCATGAATATTGCACGCGAAATTCAAAAAAATTGCATAAAGTTTATACAAGAACAAACTATAGAAAACAATCTGTTGTTAGTAAAGGTATTGACATTTGGAATAATTTAAGTACTGAGTTAAAAAATATTGGATCATATATGGTTTTCAAAAAAAAATGTGAAAACATACTTTATATCACACCAGTCAGATAATTAATCATCCTATTTTAATGTATAAAGTTTAAAAAATCTGAAAAATTTTGTAAATAGACTAACTTTCCTTTAAACACTCTCACAATTGTAGGCTATATATTTTCGTTATTATATTATGTACTATTTTTATGACATCGTGAAATTATACTAAGTAAAAAAAGTTTTGTTATAACTAGGGGTCTTAAAATAAAAGCCCAAAAGGGTTTCTAAAAGATCTCTAGCCCTACGTATAGATTATAAAAAATGTAAATAGATAAATTTTATTGTACTTTGGAAAATTGGGCGAAATAAATAAATAAATAAAATAATAAATGCACTGGCTACCACATTTGAGGTAGTACAAGCCCAGCGCTTCTACGCTTAATTATATGTCATATATCACTTTTGTGCCGTCGGATTTATGTTTTGCTTCTTGTTATAATCCGACCATGAGGACTGATATAGTCCAGTTTGAATTAAAGGATTTAAAATGACATCTCATAGCAAACTACTTAAAGTGAGATGAATTAATTTTCATCAAATCCAAGGATTGAAATCATTTTGATCTAGTCCTAGGACTGGATCAACATACTTCACCAGGTATCCAGTATTATCATGTGAGCAAAATAAAGCAATACGGTTAGCTAATTTACTCATGAATTATTAATGAGTCTAAAATTTATTTATTTTTAGCATAAGATGAATTTGTGTTTACAAAAACCATGTCCATGGGGTTTTGCTTTTCATGATACCGCAAAAAGTCAAGTCGATTTCAACGGAGGATTCAGGTAAGACTCTTGTTAATATTCTAGCTCCTGTTTTCTATAGTTCTAGTTACAATGTTATCACTTGCAATAATTATATTTTCCCCAAACAGTTTCAGCACTACAGGAAGCAAGTCTGGCATGGAGTACAACGCAACTGCTTCAGTAGGATGTGACAACGGATATGTAAGCAGATTTTACCAAAAATATATTGTTTATGATCATGACCATGGAAAAGTTTGCTTTATATTACACCTTCATGAAACCTTGTTTCTACAAGATAATGTTTAACACATCTTTTTAAGTTAATTGATTTGAAATTGTTTGTTATATGCGTCAATCGTGTGTTTAAAATTAGCCCATTGCGCTCTGGCGCACTCTTCTTAAAGACGTAAAATTTTCTGGCGTTAGACAGAGTAAAATAATATCGTAACTAGTAAAGCACACCAAGCCGCAGTTCAACTCATGATCAATGGGTTAATTTCATTCGAACTAGCTAACTTACAGGCATTTCAACTGGATTAATATACGTACAAGACAAGGGGCGTTGGGGGAGGGACAATTACTCCCCCCCCCCCTCCCCAAAAGGACCTTGGAAAACTATAGAAATTCGCGCAAATGGCAGCAAAAATGAAGAAAATTCGGGCAAATATATCACAAAATACGTTAAATTTTGGTAATTTCATTTTAATATTTAACAAGAATTCGGGCAAACTTTCACGTGCCCCCTTCCGGAAGGTATCAGGCCTGTACGCTTATAGTGGGATCAGATTTAAGTATTACCCCAAAACACTAAAACGACTAATACAATGTTAGAAAGGTGAGGAGACATTTTAACGTACCAAGAATAATGTAATTTTTGTACATAACTAGTGTTGTGGCTGCTACGGTCCTGTGGGTGGTACGAAAGATTACTGTACTGAAAATTGTAAAGCCATTAATGGTGGCACAGTTACAAAGCATGTGTTCACGTGGTTTTGGGTAAGATCCAGTCTTCCTAAAAGACTGTGGAAGAAATGTATGGATTATCAAGTGAAGCGAGATGATGGGAAATTGATTTCGTATAAGTTGGTTGGACACAATGTTCTTCCTGTTGAGGTAAAGATGTAAGGCTCAAGTTCTGGGTCTGGAGAAAGTTGACGTGGTTTGATAATACACTTTCATATTTTTGTTATTCAATGTGATGCATGATATTTTATGTTAATGATCATGCTTTTCATTTATACACAAGGGTCGCTGTAGTGAAGATTCCACACTTCTCCACGATGGGGTATGACATTACGACATACATAATTTAATGTATTTATTCAATCATCAGATTTTAACAGTCAACTACAATAGATGTTACAAAGGAAAACATATTCATATATTATTTTATTATATAAACATAAGTGTTATATAGAGTTTTTGGCCACTGAGAAAAATCGTATTTAAACACACGTAAAAAATACGATATTTTTACGTGTGAAAATATCATTTGTTGTAAAACGTATTGCCACCGACGTTTTATTGTTTTTCATTGAATTTTGTTTATATAATAAACAGAAAAATACATGGGAGCTTGGAAATACCAGATTTATTTCTCGTGTTGAACATGATATCTCACTCGTTCGCTGCGCTCACTCGTGATATATCATGTTCAACACTCGAAATAAATCTGGTATTTCCGCGAACCCATGTATTATTCTCTATATTTTGGATATTAATTATAATTTCAGATTGTGGTCGTACCAGACTCTTCTGCTGCGCAGAAAGTTCCAGCAGTTGATGGTCTACTTGAATTCCGCAAGGACAAGCAAGAACTTCTTGTTAGAGCGAACAAAACATGGAACGTACTGGCCCCAGAGAACAAGGTAGAACTACAAATCAATTCAAACCTGATTGCTAAGTTTATCTCGGTCGATTAGAAAAGGGTCCAAAGTTTTAGAATTATACCAGTTGGTATATCTGTTTGGTTTGTTTGCCTGTGTATCTAGGTTTAAATTATTTTTGTTGTTTAATTACGGCCTCAGTTAGCTTAATCCTAGATTTATAAAAAACGTCAATTTAGCAGTCTTCCGAACCGTTTGTTGTGAAGAATATCTAGATCAACAGACGTTTTGAAATAAGCGTATTTGCAGATTTTTTGTTTTTTCCCTATCTTTGGCTTTCTGTTTAAGATCCTCCAAGAGACGATGAATAGAATCAAGAAACTTAAGCAAAATTCGACCAATGAAAAGAAAGTCGTAAGTTATCATCAGTCTGGCATAAAAAGCTCTCAGCATCCAACCTTTATTGTTTTGCTTAAAATTAACACATACAGTATTGAATGAACTTATTTTAACTCATTTTGAACGTAAATCAAATCGTTGTAGCTAAAATCGTTGTATAACCTGTGCAATAAATGTTTCGAGAGACAAATAAAAAAGACAAGTTGAATTGAATTTGGACTAGCCATAGCTAAATAGACCTTTCCCCTTTTGAGTGAAATTTTGATCTAGACAAGTCTGGACAAAAATTTCATCACAGCTGGAAAGAGCATCACAAAATTAGTAATATTCCGAAGTTTCGTTGCGAAATGTTGTAAAATGCGGATAATATAGCTTTGCGAAGTTTGCCGTTTTTCAGTCATTTTGCATTACAAACGGGAAATTGATAATCAGTTTGATCATCTGATTATCAATTTGCCAGCCTAGTCCCAGGCTCTCTCTCTATTCGCTGCTTTGATATATTTAATTAAGTCTTAAAAGTTTTATGCCTGGGTGTGCTGTGCGGAACGCTTCAGCGAGAGAACCTAGCAGATTCGGTAAAATGGTCCCTGATTTCAAAAAAGTGGTCTCTGGCCTTGTTACCAAACATACCGCATTTGTAAATAGAAAATGTTATGGAAATTTTCTTTGCGTTTATAATTAAGTCATTAGTTTTGCTCTAATGCTGTCGAAACAATGAAATAGGCTACGTTTCGCTACCATACGGTCAGAATGGAATAACGGGCTAAATATGACGCGTGTTCACTAAAATATAAAGCCATATTAAATGCTATCTAGAAGCTTGAAAATTATGCCGAGTCTCCGACTAAAAATGTTTTTACAAGACAGTTATGTCAGGCAAATATTTCCAATCTCCTCAGCTACTTAAACCTGTCAAGTAGAAAGCGTATATAGTTGTGTATACCAGTATGGTCTAGTGTTGATCACAACTTGCGAGTATATAAATAACATCAACGATTATACGACCATTGCTCAGACTCAGTATCGTAAATTTGTAAATGATTTTTTTTAATTGAGCATATTTTTAATACAGTTCGAATTTGGTTATGTAGACATCGAACATGATCAACGAACATTGTCGTATTTAAAAGGTTATTTGTATATATAAATTTTCCGCCATATTAAAAATACTGAAATCTGCTAGGCGTTCTGAAGCACCTTTAGCGGTAACGTCACACCTAGGTCCCAGTCTCGTACTACATCCACGTTTTTTCTCGCGCTTGCTTCAGAACGACTGGGACTAGGCTGTCAATTTGCCATTTGTGATACAAAATGACTGAAAAACGGCAAATTTCGCAAGGCTATATTATCCGCATTTTACAACATTTCGCAACGAAACTTCGGAATATTACTAATTTTGTGATGTTCTTTCAAGCTGCGATGAAATTTTTGTCCAGGAATATCTAGATCAAAATTTCACTCATAAGGGGAAAGCCAATATCTTAACAATAAGCCATTTCCAAATTATACCGTCGAATTCCTACATACAATAGGTGCATGGTGTGCAAGTTAATATAGCCCTGCGAAATTTGCCGTTTTTCAGTCATTTTGTATTACAAATGGGAAATTGTTAATCAGTTTGATCATCTGACTATCAATTTCCCGTTTGTAATACAAAATGACTAAAAAACGGCAAACTTCGCAAGGCTATAGTATCCGCATTTTACAACATTTTGCAACGAAACTTCGGAATATTACTAATTTTGTGATGTTCTTTCAAGCGATGAAATTTTTGTCCAGGAATATCTAGATCAAAATTTCACTCATAAGGGGAAAGCCAATATCTTAACAATAAGCCATTTCCAAATTATACCGTCGAATTCCTACATACAATAGGTGCATGGTGTGCAAGTTAATATAGCCCTGCGAAATTTGCCGTTTTTCAGTCATTTTGTATTACAAATGGGAAATTGTTAATCAGTTTGATCATCTGACTATCAATTTCCCGTTTGTAATACAAAATGACTAAAAAACGGCAAACTTCGCAAGGCTATAGTATCCGCATTTTACAACATTTTGCAACGAAACTTCGGAATATTACTAATTTTGTGATGTTCTTTCAAGCGATGAAATTTTTGTCCAGGAATATCTAGATCAAAATTTCACTCATAAGGGGAAAGCCAATATCTTAACAATAAGCCATTTCCAAATTATACCGTCGAATTCCTACATACAATAGGTGCATGGTGTGCAAGTTACGTCGCCATGTTGGATGACATTAACAAAGGATTTTGCTTGTTTGCAATGCAAATATCATCCAACGTGGCGAAAATGTCTTTTTCCTTTGAATTCCATGGGAGTGGTTGCACATCACCTATAGCCTAAGAACCAGGCTTCATGGAAAGTTGTAATATTTCTATAGCAAGTTTAGCACGAAGCATCGACTTGGCGTTATTTTTCTTGACTACTATAGAGCCTACAGTAATTCTGAAATGGTCTTTTTAGATTTTGCACGAGACGGACAAAAAATACAAGTTAAATTTGGATAAGATTAACAAACTCGAGGAGAAAGTGAATAATGAAAAGAAAATCGTAAGTTGTCTCAACTTCATAAAGTCATACAGCGCATAAAATCTTTTTCCAAGTATCATGTACTGTACTAGATCATTAAAATCGAAGAAGTCTTATAGCTTCAGGCCATCGGATTATACTTTATCTCAGCTGAATATTGAGCAACTGAATTCAGTTGCGTGGTAACGAGATTTCATTTTTCATAGTACAGATGTTTGATCGTTTAATTGTTCAAAAAACCCTTTAAATATTAATGCCCAGAACTATGTATTGTTTCAACCATCACTACATGCATCATTAATGTTCTCTTAATAAGTATTCTTACCCGACATTTCATACTTTATAGGTCAAGGTTTGGGGTATTCTAATATATACTATCAGTTTATATATCAACTATATATTTATTACCTAACCGTTTAGTTGGAGAATTTAGTGAAGAAACTTTACAGTCCTACAACTAAAGAAATGACTACAACTCCCATTATTCCTACAACTGGTAAGTATGTACATGTCAAATTAATATCTATCAGGCAAGGCGAGGTCCTCGGCAGCTGTTATTATAGAAAGTTAATAGTTTTCCCGGGTAACTGTTTACATGATACAACCAGGTAACTCCTGGGTAACATTGGCAGGATGGGTTTGAAATTCAGTGTGGTTATCTCCTGAGTACATTCAACTCAGTGGCGAGGCTGGGGAAGTTTGAGTAAGTCGTTCTCTAAGACCTGCACGTCCTAAGGGGTCCTGGGCGTGCTGTCCCGGAAATTTTATAATTCAAGAAGTCCGGAATACCCATTTCCTGCGATTTAAGGGTGAAATTTATCAAGCAGAACAACAAATAAAGTTGTATGCCAAAACTTCCAGGGGGTTGAGGAAAATGCTACCTCGAAAATTTTTGAATATTTAGACCCTCAGAAATCCCGGAAATGCAACTAAAATTTTGCAGATTTAGCTTGCGTTCACTTTTAACTTCCACGTTTTCCCGTCAGTGCGACTTATAATTTACCTGAAAATCAACTCAAGTCACCACCTGAAATTACTCATGAAAATATATTGGCGAGAGCTGTGTTACACTCCCTATACCCCTGATCGCTACGTCCCTCAACTCGCCTTGGTGAGTCCTGGTAAAAAGAGGGGAAATCTGGCCTACATACGCAAAAACGCACAAGTTGCAACCATCTATGGTTGCAACAAACTGCAGCAGACTTGTAGCAATGCTTTTCCAACAAATTTTCAACAGGATGTGTTCGCACCGCTTGTTCCCAGCTTTTTGACAAGTTGTTAACGGTTTGTTGCCAACTTGCTACAAGATTGCTGAGCTCAACAAAGTTGTTACAAGTTGTGCCGACAACTTGTTATCGTCCTGCAATTCAACAACTTGTCAACAAGTTGTGAGTGACAGTCTTGTGGCAACTTGATAAAATAACAACATTGTTACAACTTGTTAACAAGTTTGTTACAACAAGCTTGTTGCGAACACAACATGCTGACGAGTTGTGAGATTTTTGCGTGTGTAGGCGAAATTAATATAGTTGTACTATTGTATTTGCGCGGGAAACTCAGGAACCGAGATCCAGAATGTATATGCCTTGCATTTGAAATACCAGCTTGAAAATACATACAAGTCATTAGGTATATAAGCATTAATTTCCTGAATTTCTCGGCGCTTATTCCTGTATTTCCACGATATTTTGTAATGTTTTTTAAACATTTCAAACGACTATACGGCAAATGCCGAGTACACACGCAAAAATCTCACAAGTTGTAGCAAGTCTGCCAACAAGTTGTCTTCGCACTGCTTGTCCCAAGTTGTTAACAAGTATGGAACAAGCTGTTAACAATTTGTAACAACCTTGTTGATATTATCAGACTTGTTGCAAGTCAAGATACAGTCATGATATAACAATATTGTTACAACCTTGTGTCGTCAACCTTGTAACATTGTTGTTATATCATGACTGTATCAGACTTGTTAGAACAACCTTGTAATAAGTCTGATAATACCATCAAGCTTGGTACAAGTTGTTAACAGCTTGTTCCAATCTTGTTACAACAACTGGGAACATGCAGTGCGAACACAACTTGTCGACAGCTTGTGAACAGATTTGTAACAGCTTGTTTGCAGAACTGTAACAACTTCTGCGTTTTTACGTGTGTATCTCGATTCCATTTAATCATATAAACAGACAGCCTAGCTATTTGTTCCGCCTGAGCGAGTTGGCACCGAGTATGAGAGAAAATAGCCTGGGTACGAAGTTGTAACTCGCCTCGCCGGGTAACTCGTTTTCACATAAACAGGCCCTTAGAAGAATTAAAGTCGATAAAAAAGTAATTTCCGTCAAAGGCCAGACATCCAAAAATGTTTTCACGTAACTCTTGTGTTGAAGGAAATGCACAAGAAAGAAATATTTTCAAAATTAAAAATCAATATTATAGTTATCATGTTATATCAATCATGTTATATTGATAATATTCATTGCCTAATTTGCATTGTTATATAGTTAGTGTCAAAGTTCTGTTTGCCGATTCGTCAAAACCGTGTCACGTGCCGGTCCACAAAACGTCTCGGCAACCGGTCCGCAATCATTCTCGTACCCAGAGCCCTTCTTACGCGCGTTCGACCGAGCGCGACGAGGGGCTCTGGCCAAATCCATATCAAACTGGATTCTGATTAGCCACAACGAAATATATGGTTCATTGTATAAAATATGAATAAAAATCAAGCGCTCCATGAAGCGTTGGTTTCGTTTTGGAGAAAATTGGGAGAAAAGACATTATTAAAGTTGAAAGAACAGCAGTACGAAGCAGTTAGGAAGATTGTTGTTGATAATCGTCCACAAAAGCGGTAGATGTCGCTAATTTTATTTATTTAAATCAATTAGTTGATTGAAATTAATAGGTTGAGACGTGATGTTCTCATAGCAAAAAGTCAGCATATATTTATGGCAAATGCACGTCGTATTCTCAAATCAGTGATATTAATTAAACAAATCTGTGTTACATGTTCAAAGCTGAAGTGCCATCTGAAGAGAAAATATTAAAGCCAGCCAGAATATGAAGTTTGTGATGACTATTTTCTTCCTAGAAACCGATTTTTTACAATCTTCAAATGATTTGCAGTATAGTATGTCTTATGTATGACTGTTGACTTTTAATAAAACAAAAAAAAAGTCTAAAAATCTGTACAACAGCGACTTAAAATCGATTATAAAATAGTGAGACAATCTCTCGTCTTCGTATCCGTATCCATTACTGCTTTTGACAACGTTTAAGAGGGAAATATATACTAAATTTTATCAACATACATTGAGAACATCACGTCTTACCTACTAATTGATTTAAATAAATAAAATTAGCGAAACCTACCGCTTTTGTGGGGTTTTCCTGGAGTAAAACTTTCAAAACGAAGCAAACAAGAAAACCGAAGTGTTTATCTGCGTTTAACGCTGATGTTAAACCGGATACCATGTTTTTATGGTATCCAGTTATGGATTTGGCCAGAGCCCCTCGTCGCGCTCGGTCGAACGCGCGTAAGAAGGGCTCTGGGTACGAGAATGGTCCGCAATCAAACATTTATTGACCGGTCAATAGTAAAATGGGTGCAATACGCATGCCTTTCAATCAGTGCCGTCGCGAGGAACTCGCTTCAGGGGGGGGGGGTTAAATCTACCTGAAAGTATCAAAATTTCAAATCTTACCTGAAATTTATTTTTTTGGAAAACATCTTTTTTGGCGACCTCCCCTCCCCCCCTCCCGTCGCCAAAAAATTGCGCTCAGTGTACCATTTTCGCGACATAAAAAAAATTTTTCCGGACATCACAAATTTTCTCCGCTTATCAAAAAATTTTTCCTAAAATTCCGAAAATATACCTCATTTTCTTCCAAATTCATAGTTATTTTTGTAAATTAACTTTCTCTTGTCCTAGGAATTACCTGCATTTGCGTTAATTTACCCGAATTTCTTCTGCAAATCTACCTGAATTTACCTGAAATTGATCATATAAGCAATTATCAGGGGGTGTTGTACCCCCATCCCACCCCTCCCCGCTCGCTACGGCCCTGCTTTCAACCATGAAGTTCCTGAAAGTTCATTTTTAAAAACGTTTTACTAAACATTTACGACGTTCCATTCATCCAGTTTTGGTTTCAAATTAAGTTCACTCCAATAACCGATAAATTATTCCTACTTTGACACTTATATACTATATAACAAAACACTTATTTACTGAGACCTCGGGAAAGCAGTGTGTTTTGTGGCCCCTCGACTGCCACAAAGCACACTGCTTCCCTCGGTCTCAGTAAATAAGTGATAACTATATCAGAGAGTACAAAAACTCTCAGAAAACCAGAAACACCACAGCGTAAAGATTAGCCTGCCTGCGGAAAGCCGCGGGACCTCCGCCACGCAGTGAATGTTGGGCTAGCTGGCTCCATTCACTGTTCTGAGCACTCCGGATTTTGGGAACACTATAATACAATCAAACCGAAAACAGTTGCTTGACTGTTCTGGCTGACCCCATTATTAGACAGATTTAGGTCGAAAACACGGACGTCTAAAATGTCGTGTTGTGCCCATGTATGGATATGCCACGCCATTTTCACGTCGTCTTTGTCGTCCACGTCCTCGATCTAAATCTGTCTATTGAGTAGAGGCAGGCAGAACAGTCATGTGATCGTGATCGGTTCCATTCATATTAGTAGAGAGGTTAAGATACCACGGTTCCAGTTTACGGGTACGAGTATCGCCATTTTGTTTACCAATTTTTGCTGATGTCGGCGATTTTACCCGTAATTTCTACCCGTTTCCCCGCGGTAAACGATGGTCTACACGTAAAAGACAAACGGGTACAGGTGTTACTCTGCTTACTATTTTTGGGCCGTTTAAATAGTACAAATTTTCAACATTTTACCCAAATAAATAATGCACATATGCTAGTGAAAGTTTTCAACAATTTATGGCGAGCCTCAACAGCGAAAGTTGCCATTCTCTGATCGGTTTTCCCACGCTGGAGTATCTTGGATTTTTTAAGTTACAAGCTATTCCCCGATTTACGGATACGGGTACATGTAGATCACCCGTACCCGTAAACCGGAATCGGGGTATCTTAACCTCTCTATAGATCGGAAGAGCATCCGGATCACTCCGAACAGTAAATAGAGCAGCCTGCTAAGATAAAACTCATTACTAACGTACAGCCTCTATTTTCTATCATGGTTTCTCTCGTTTAAATTAATTTAGTTCTGCCTCAACGTAAAGAGTGTTTTGGATATAAATGGCTGAGAGAAAGTAACAGAAACCAGAAATATTCACAACTCGAACACAATTGTGACAGCGGTCTTTCCACAGGATGGCATAGATTTGGAGGAGGAGCTGGGACCAAAATGCCTACAACATGTGTATCTAAAAACAGATGTGGAACGCAGGCCACAGGTTGGATAAATGGTGCTCACCCTACAGTTGCTGATAGCAAGGTGACCAGGAAAGTGTGTTTCAATTGGTCTGGTAATTGTTGTAACTGGTCAGATAACATCGAGGTGGTTAACTGTGGACAGTATTATGTTTACAAACTAAGTGCTCCTTCAGCTGGTTGTAATTTAAGATATTGTGGATCAGATAATTGATGCAGATTGTTGAATTGTTCCACGTAATCATTATGATGCATTTAAACTGTCGCACTAGTGCACTAGCAATAGATTTGAGCTCAGAATTGGATTTGATTAGACTAGCTTACTGCAAATGATATAATTAACGCGCACTCTCTTATAAACTCCGGCCCCCATATTATCTATTAGACGTCCTGGTCAACTATATTTTTTTATAACAGACGTCCCTCTCTATTAAACTCCCCTACTAATAAAGTCAATAAACACCCACTCCCTTCAAAGCCGTTTTGTAGATTCAATTAAATATCTATAGGAGTAATCGTGCAAGAGCTATGAGTTTGGCTTTTTTTAATCTGGAACTGCTGAGAAGTGTTGTTACAACTAGGCCGAAAAGTAATGTACGTAAGAATGAAATAGACTTCGATTATCTAGTAAACGTCCCCGTAACCGTTGAACAAAATTCCTGGGCCTATTTTTAGATCATTTAGTATCCTATAATTACTTGTTGATTTCACTTTTGTTGATTTTTTTGTTATCAGTATAGGTCATGTATGAACAGTTGAAATATAAAACAGTTCATGGGACATAAACTTTATAATTATCGTTGTTACATATTGTAGCATTAGCAAACTGAGCGAAATATATATAACCTGCATGTGAAACGTCTGATTTTATATTAATACTATATTTGTTAGTTTTATCTACACCAAAACGGCGACAATCTTCCCCTGGAAGTAACTGAAAGTTTATACGGATCCGGAACTGAATAAATTCTGAACTGTTCTTAAAATTGTCGCAACTCCAATAAGCTCTTTATATATCTTCCGTAGAACCGTGTTATCTAAAATGTAATCGAGGGGAAATTCTGAGCAAATCCCGCCGCTTATCATGCCGAAATTTCCCAGAGGTGAAGTTTACGATATGCTCATAGTAAAAACAGAAAAAAGTTGAGGTCTCCGAACTAGTACTCCTTCCCCATCCCCTCCCCCCGTCCCCTCCCCCACCCCCATCCCCCCCCCATGGCGCCATTTTGACCCTTAAAAGTTACAGCAACAATCGCAATTGCTCAACCAGTATTGAATTTTTTTAAGGATCCTACTAAAAATGTCCATCTAGATGATTTAGTGATTATATACAAGAAAACATGGTATTTTAATTAACGAATCAAAAACCATTGACATGCATTGTCGTAGTGCGAAGATGTCTACATTCTATTTTGGGAGAAAGTTGTAGAAACGATTTTCTCCTATTTTCTGACAGACATGTAAAACTTAGAAAAACAAATATAAAATAAAAAGTTGGGTGGCAAACCGTCAATGAGTTAAAGAGATACAAGAGTTAAACGTGCAACATGCATGCATGATGTGGTTTAGTACGCCTGCATGGGTCTGCACAGGAGCCCTTGCCAGAGTTCTGTCATTTTTGAAAGTACATTTCCTGAAGCACGCCTATAATCAATGCACAGTGTTTTTCTCTTTGTCCTTATTCTTTCTTTCATTACAGTTCGGCTACATAGATTAGCTAGAATTTGTTATTAGATATGAACAATAAAAAGCGCAATGTGAAACTAATAAATCACCTAGTAAGTCATGAAAAGAAATTGTCTGCAGAGTAGAATACGAGAAATGCTCACATTTCTCTTTGACTACTTTTTGATCAAAGATATCTCTGTATCTGAAATTGCACTATTTAAGGCCGTTTTCTACCTCAATCGTAACGTATCGTTGCATTTTCTTTTGTGACAAAGTCATTAGATCCACTCTAGTGCTCAGGAAACAAAGAATTCCAAAAAACGTTTTCCAGACATACCTTTATTAGAGACAAAAATGTTTCCAGGCATACCAACCATTTTTAACAAACTTTCCCATTAATGTATCGTATTTTTTTTAGCTTTTTCCGTAATTTTCGTAAATTTTAAAAAATGTTTGGTATAACTATTACTTTTTATTCCGAGCCACTCAAATATTTTGGCTGACTACTAAAACAATTTGTCGATAAATCCGAAAACAATTAACATAAACTTTAAGTTTAATTTTGTTACCAAATATTATTAATTTATTTTAAATTGTTGAAGAATACGAATGTTTTCATCGAGAGGTTTTACAAGCTATATAAAGCATTCGCGCGTCCATGTTGTATCAAACATATTATAACCTCCCGCCTTCTGCTTGAGTTTGTATCAGGGATACAACACGGCGGCTCATGCTTTATCGATTACTTAAAAAAAACTAATTAATAATTCATGAGGAAAAGACGAAGGAATCGCCACCATGTCGGTGGTTTTATATATGATAAAAAATCATGATAATTTACATAAATTTTAGCTCTGGATTCTTCGGCTTAAAGGCGGATTTCCAGTCCTCGCACGAAGCTCCTCGCAGCTCGCTTCGAGTGCTTACATCTAATTAAAATTAACTGTTTAGCATTGTGATTGGATGAAAGTGCTCATGCATGCACTCGCAGCGACCTGTGAGGGCTTCGTGCGAGGACTGGAAAACCGCCTTTAGACAACGTTTATTTTTATAATTACTTCGCCAATGAATTCATAAGATGGATCGTTTTTTAAGCCATTTAAAACACTCGCAGTTTGTGCTTTATCAGATATAAGATACTCGGCCGTCGTCTAGTGTTTTGCATCTGATAAAGTACAATACTCCTGCTTGTGCTTTAAATAGTATTTAATTATTTAATTCGGTTAATTCATTCAAGATTTTGCGCGAAGTGTGGACTCTTCACAAGAAACCAAAGAAACCGACCTCGGATCCGTTTGATATCTCTCTAAGGGGCAATGCAAAAATTATTTTATACGGGGCCGAAGCAAATGGGGACGGGGTACATACTTTTTTTTTAACTGCATAGTTATAGAAGCGGGGCACAAAGATTTTTTCTGCCTTGCAAGTTGATCAAATAACTACAAGTGGGAGGCCAGGGCGTGGTTTATTCTCTTTAGGAGAAGTTCAGACCCGCAGAGGCCGCAATGTCAGACCTTCTGCACATTTTGAACGATTACCTCTAGCTGAACATGGTAAGCAACTGTACGGTAGCCACAGCTACACAAGCTTTCTTTCCTAACAGTGGCGCGCGGGCCAGCAACTTTTTTTAGCAAAGTTCCGAGCGAGGCTGGAGATTTTTATCGCACCAACCTAAGCGGGGTTTGCCTCTTTTTAACTTTCAAAATTGATTTGCTTCGGCCCGGAGTACACTAAATTTTGCATGCATGGCCCCTAATTTAGATCGATCTCAAAGTGTGTTAAGTGAACGCCATGGGTAAATATCAGGATATGGGGCATCTCACCCTATAGAACTATATATTGTTGAAGGGCTGAGGAAAATTTCGAGTGGAATTTTTATACATTTATTAGACTTGACCAGGAGTAGTTTCGAAACTGTCGGACCTTTGAATGGCAAGTTCTAATAACGTGTTCCAAACTATTAAATTGGGATTTTCCAAAGCATTTTAACCGAAAAATTTTAAAAAAAACGTAATTATGTGGACAAGTCAAATTCAAATGTAAACACAATGTTTGCACAATTACACTATTTAGTAGAAATATATCCCACATCAAAGTTCACTGATAAAATACAATCCTTAAAAGGGATTCAGAAAATCTGAAAAGGCTTTAGGTCCCAATATTTTAAAAAAGGTGGCAGAAAATCTGAACCCTGCAACATAGAATTCCACAAAATCATGGAAAAATGACAAATCTTGAGACGCAGAGTTCAGGATTTCTGACCCCCTTAGAAGCCAAATACTAAAGTCAATGGCGAGGGTTCAGAATTTCTGAAGGCTTTAGCCTCCAATATTGTAAAAAGGTGTCAGAAAATCTGAACCCTGCAACATATAATTCCGCAAAAATCATGCAAAAATGATAAATCTCGAGATACGGGGTTCAGAATTTCTAATCCCCCTTACAAGCCAAATACTAAAGTGAATGGCGAGGGTTCAGAATTTCTGAAGGCTTTAGGCCCCAATATTGTAAAAAGGTGTCAGAAAATCTGAACCCTGCAACATAAATGGTAAAATGTAAATGGAACAAGCATATTTCAACTGCCCAACCGGAACTTTTCCAGAATGAACGGTTTGTTTGAAAAGGTTGACGTCCTCTCTTACCGATTGGAACGTTTCAACCGGTAGATGTTGTTCCATTTACATCTTCTCAATTTTTTTCACCTGTTCGAGGCTCTTCTCGATTTAACAATTGAAATTATTAAATGGAAAGCACATAATCCGAATGGGATTTTCTATCCAAAATTTTGCTTACCATTAGCACAATTTCAAACCGAATGGGTTTTCCATGTAAGTGGTAAACAACCCAGGTAGTCACTAATTATTTTATCGTTCTTTTGTGTTTCTGAAAGAATGCATATCATTCCACTTGCAAATTAAAGAGACTAAATCGTCGGCCATGCAGATGTGGCACGTGGAGTTACCTTTTATTTTACAGCAATTTCCCTACCAATTTCAACACGGTAACAGCTTTAAATGATCAATTATAAAAAACTTGGAATATGGCAGGCAGGCATGCATGACTGGTATTATTATTGAACTTCTGAGACGTTTGGAACCAAACAGTACGGATTATTAATATATATATATATATATATATATATATATGCAGGCAATACCACAGCAAATTTTTGCTGATTATAACAACATAAATTATAAAGTTTGTTCGTTCAACAACATGCCAGCAATTCCTGCGTTCGTATCGGCGTAGTCTATAGAACACTCTAGATGAGCCAAATCGTATGTAAGCCATATCGACTCTGCTTAATTTCATGCATGTAGGCTATATATTGCTGAAAAGTTACCGTGTATAAAGATTTTAACTAAATAATAACGTTTTTGACACAATTGACAGAAACTAACTTCGAAATTCCGTCGAGCGCAATTCAGAAGCATTCAACGTAATAATTCGGCAGAAATTTGACGTCTAAAATACTAGGCTTTACAGTCCTGAAGTCAACTGTGAAAGTCGATCATAACTCGAGCAGAATTTAAACTCGCATCTTCGAGGCACCGAAGTAAACAGGTATTGGAGGCGAATGTATATTTTTTGAGGTAAATAGAATTAGAAATTTAGAAAGACTTTCAAACTTTTCTCTGCGCATACGACATACGTCCTTATAAAAAAAGCTTACCAGGAATGCAGCTTCAAGAGTCAAAGGTAGTTGTAACTGCGTGTGTGTGTATGCATAATTAATAAGTATATTTAATTTAATTTATTCTGTTATATAATCAGACTTGCAAAGTGTGATGAATATATAGTCTTGCGTAAGAATCAGTAAAGTGAACATTAAGCGTTAGTAAAGAGAACACTAAAAATAATTTAAAGACATCATTATATCTCACGGATACTTCCCATAAAGAGTTTAAGAAGGGAAAGACCGTCGAGATACCGTTGAATCGGTTATTGTAAAGTAATAAAATTAAAGAGATTTAATCAGTCTTGTGTGTTAAAGTCAATGCTTTACGGTGAGCAAGCGCCGTCACAGTAGTTGTTATACATATAATTGTTCTTGACATGCAACCTCAGTAAAATAGCAATATGTACCATATACCGGTTAAACCGGTAACAGTACGGCTTTGCTCATTTCCTTTCAAGGTCTTCACAACGCCCATACCCTCAGCTTCATCCCAAAGACCATGCCGCCAGCTGAAGTGTTCACGCTGGCCTCAAAATGACAACTTCGTTGCTGTAGGGTGTAAATGTGTAATAGAGAAGGGTATGGATGTAGGAGGCCTGCTTGGCTGCACTGTAATAAATGAATTACAGAATACAAACATAATTGACGAAAAAATCCTATTGATGTAAGCGACAAGCCAATCAAAAAGCCATTTCGCCGAGAAATAGCCAATCAGTTCTTCCGACCACGCCGTTTTGTTTTGCCTTCGCCATCCCACCCGTGGATTTTAAGGTAGCAAAACGGAGACCCTGGGAACGAGGTTGAGGTTTGTGCTCAGGTTACAATCTTGTACATGGCCCTTGAGACCATTCCAGCCAATATTGCAAAGTTAAAGCATGCATGTGTAGTGACAAAACAAACTTCGTCAACCTCTCTTTCTCAGTTCAATTTTGTAAGCAACGTTGAAACGACTTTGGGTAATCTATACCGTATATACACAAGTTCAATTCGAAAGCGATTTTACATTTTTAGGAGCAAATCAAACAACATAAAAAATTATGCGGTTTTTTGTCATTTCGTCTCGATATTGTTCGACACATTGAGCTATTTTTGTCGACCTTGCGGCGATTTTTCCCAAAGTGTACGTTATTTAAATCTCCGTAATTGTATACTTTTGAAATGCATTGCTATATAGGTAACTGTAAGCGCGAGGGATTTTAAAATGAGTACTATTTCACCCAGCTTGACAACAAGCACAATGTCCCATTTGATCGATTCCAACAAAAATGTGTAATTGAATATTTACTGTAAGTTCATTACATAATGAGTGCTCATGCATTATTTTTATTAGCATACGTCATAACTGATCACCGTTTATATCAATGTCTTTCTAAATTCTGAGAATTTTTCATATTCTATGAAGAACAAAGATTACAGAATTGTCTTCTTTAAGCAGTGGTGTCAAGTAACGAAGTAAATGTACGAAGTAAATGTACTTCGTTACTGTACTTGGGTACTATTTTTGAGAAGTCAGCATGTAACAAAGTAAACTTTTTCTGCAGAACTTTTACTTGGAATGGAGTCGTTTTAAGAAGTAACGTTTTACTTCGTTATTTTCATTTTGTGGCGAAGTATTTCGTTACTTTCTAATTTTTGTTTAACTTTACGTGATTTATTTTAATTTTGGGACAGGTAATAAGACCTCTACATGGGTCTGGGATCTCTCGTTTGTGGCTACTTATAAGTATTATTTATTTAATGGACTTCTTATATCTTCAAGGCGGTCTGGAAACTAGACCATGCATGCCGTGAAATATTGCATAGTTATAATGCGTGTGCTGTTTTGTATCTCAATCCATCAATGGATACGCCCCCCACCCCTCCACACGCTAGAGACAATAGTAATTTTATTTTTACTTTGTACTCCAAGTATTTTTATGGATACTTTGTACTTTTGACTTAAGTACGTTTTGCCTCCAGTACTTTTTACTCTTACTCAAGTCGTTTTATTGTCAATTATTTCTACTTTTACTCGAGTACAAATTCAAAGTAATTTAGGCACCACTGTCTTTAAGTTCGATTAAGTATAATGTATCATTGCTATGGCATATACGCTTGTAATTAAATTTCTTGGAAATAATCAGTTGTCTTCAGTCAGTTTATAAACAGTTATATGCTGATTAAAAGGTTTTTTATCAGTTTTACTTTACACCTATTTAATTTAATGATTCGTAATACTTGTTTTGCATTTACTGAAGGAAAACTAAGAATTGGTTTCTTCTACGGTTTCTTGGTTTTTGCATTTTTCGGCAACATGGTTAAATAACTTAGCTTGGCACGTCTTTCTGAATATCTCTTTCTGACATTCACTCATGGTAAGAGGCCGTTTACCAGCAATCACCTTTCTTTTCATAGGGATGAATCCGAAAAGATGCCATTCTTCAAACATCACATTAAGGTCAAACGACAAGCTGTATCGCGCGATTGCAAGATTTATTTTCCCATCGGTTTTTAGGGCAATAACTTGCTCGAAGTGCATGTTGCCTTTGCCTTTGTTGAATTTAAATTGGTTTTCATTTCCGTGCCGTGCTCCTGTGCGCACTATATCAAGTATTGATGCTGTTGTTTTCTTGTCCAGTTTGTGTCTTTCTTGCAAGTCATTTACAAACGCCGGGAAATCTTCTTCTAAGATGTCTTTAAAGACTTCACATACGTAATTTTCCTCAAATTTGTTGTATTGAAAACCTTTCATTAATTTATCGGCTTTCTTGATTTCTGTCATCGATTCTTCAGCAGGCTCTAAAGTGCGACGCATCTCCGTGTAAAGTTTGTAAACCGCTGCGCATCCACCAACTATGGCAATCGTTTCCAAGACAACCGTCATGACTTTACAATAACTAGAAACATTAATAAAAATAGAAATGAGTAGTGTGGAGGGAGAAGTAGGGAAGGGGAGAACAAGAAAGTGAGATGAGAGTCAGGAGGGAAGCAGCGAGGGAGGGAGGAAGGGAGGGAGAAAAAATGGAAAGAAAGATGAAAAGAAAGAAGGGACGATGTGAGGGAGGAAGAGGGAGGGAGGAAAGAAGGAAGGAAGGAAAGAAGGAAGGAAAGAGGAAAGAAGGATGAAAGGAAAGAAGGGACGAAAGGAGGAAGGAGGAGGGAGGGAGGGAGGAAGGAAGGAAAGAGGAAAGAAGGATCAAAGGAAAGAGGGGACGAAGGGAGGGAGGGAGGGAGGAAGGAAGGAAGGAAGGAAGGAAGGAAGGAAGGAAGGAGGGAGAGAAGAGAGGGAGCCACGGAGGGAATGAAGAAGGGGGAGGGAGAAAGGAAGAGAGGTGGAAAGGGAGGAATGGAAGGATGGTGGGAAGAAGGAATTATAGTTGGCCACGGAATATTTGGTAACATTTTTATAAACGGCAAATCTTTTCATTGAATATCTTCAGAACGCATAGCAGGATTACAACAGTTATAATATTATAGCCCTTAACTAACATATGCTTACTTAAATCTTCTATATTACTCAATATAGACAGGGTAGTTAGCGTTCAAGAATGAATATATACTAATGTTGCGGATGTATAATTTGAATTTTTACAATGATTGGGCTGCAATATACTACTAAAGTACTATCTATATATTATTATATACATTAGAGAAGTATAATGTTTTTGATGTTACTATGAGTGTATATCCACAACGGGCAGGCTGAAATTGGAAAAGTTAGCCCGACCACGGTGGGAATCGAACGCGCGACTTTTGCGATACTAGTCCAATACTCTGCCAACTGAGCTACGAGGCCAAGTAGTAATGTATTTTTGAACTCTCGTTTCAGCTCTTTAGCTCTGTTTATTTAAGGCGTTGTCGTACTTCACGAGTCGGTTATATTCTCAGTCGAGCAAATTTAAGGATGTTCATAATTTAACTAACTTATAGACTTAATTGTCTATATAGGAAAATGTTCAAACTGTATGTTAATTAAACTTGATTTTATGAATTAACCTCAGAGTTTCCGAGAGGGGGGCAGGGGGAGGGGAATTACCCCGGGCCCCTACCTTAGTAGGACCCCAACTTGAGAGCAAGAGCCTAAAAATGAGTAGGTTCTTTAAATTGGTCAGAGAATTTTTGAAATCGAAGGCCTCTTACAGTGCCTCCACATGCAGTCTATAGTTAAGGTTTAGTTGGGTCTGGCTTGAAATATGATGTCATGGGCCCCCAGGGAAGATTTGCCCCCGGGCCCGCGAATTCTCTCGGCGGCCCTGATTAACCTAACTTATAATTAAGGAGAACTAACCGAAGTAAGCTTTTGATGATGTAATATTATAATTATAATTAACTAACCGCGCGAAATAAACCCGTACAATGAATAATTGACGGCAAAGCCCTTAACATACGACTTGTAAGTTACAAAGTTTATTTTTAATTTTTTACCATGCACTTACGTCATTATAAACAACAGAGCATTTAGGGTCCAAATCAAAGACTACGTAATTTAATTCTATAAAATATATATCCATCATTGTCTGGTTCAGTCATATAAACTTTATTGCGTTGCTGCGCAGCTACAAACAGGCTTTCAGAAATAGACGGGTATTCTGCTCTTTTAATATCTTCAGTATATATTGCTTCGTCGCGTCGGAGTCAAAACTCTCTCAATTCGACCTGCCGCATGACAAGGAATTGATAAATCCTTAATATTATTTTCCATTTAAACTTATTAAACAGTGCTTAAATTTGTTGACAAGCTACCGCTTGAATAAAGTAAAATTCTGAAGCTGTCAGTGTACTCGTAGCGCTTCGCCATGACGTACAATAACAAATACTGTTTGCTCTCCAACCAAAAATATCTTATATGAAATTGTGCAAAATCCTCTCGGTTTTTCGTCTGCTGTACTACTGAAATGTGCTTAATTCTTTATGTTTTTCTTCATTACTTTATCTTGCTAACCTGCAGTATAAAGTTAATATTAAATGGACAATATGCCGAAATAAAAATTCTTCACGTCTAATTAGTTCTTCTACTCAAAATATGACTTTATACAGTTGCGACGCAGACGTGAGAAACAATGAAACATGTCCGCGCAAGAATCTTTTCAGAATTAATTAGGAGAGTTAATTAGGGAAATACAGCTAGTTTCCAATCTCACCTGTTAAAATTTGATTTTACTGGCACTGCTGATCATTACAGCAATATATTTTCTAGAATATTTAAGAAATTTTTATTGTAATTTAGGCCAGATTTTTATTGGAATTTAGGCCAGACTTTTGCTGTAGCAGCGGGCTATTGAGCCTGCATCAGCTATTCTCGACTCCGTTGCTCTTTTGGCTTGAATTACAACTGGGATTACAACAGAAAGGTTAAGCGACTTGCCATATTATGGTTAAGATATTGTTTTGGATGGGCTTGTGCCAGATCGGGATTTCCCCATTTCATTTAATGAAATGACGTCATAATTTACAGCGTCGGAGAAGAGTTGAGGTTACAAGTAAGGTCAGGATTGTACCAACCTCGTCCCCAGGGTCTTCCTGGTGGTGGCGCGTGAGCTGAGGAAGACCCTGGTAAAATACGATGAAACTCCAAGATTCTTGGAGATTTATCGCATGCGCAGTAACGACAACGTTATGTTGCTGACTACAATTAGCGCTGGCGCTTACGATTTTCTTGTTTAAAAATATACATGTTTTGTTGATTGTTTATGTATTTATTCTCAAAGTTTTAACAAATTTTACGAAAAATACTTCAGATATAAGCTGTGAACACACATGTACACAAAACTATGCAACATTCATCATCATATTGTATCAATTCGTCGGAGTATGGCGCTCATATTTGTGACATTGTTTTGTTCGCTTTGGCAACCCTCGTATATATCAGATGCTATTCGGCTTCAAATTATAATGCGACTGAATATAAAACACTGATAGTGTTGCCTGGAATATGAAATGATATTGATTGATTGTACTGTATATCAAGGTATGTATACTGTACATTTATACTGAATTTATTCGATTTATTTTCACACGTTGCTTTCACATTTTCTCAGAGTCTCGGAAATCACATTTTCTAACACACTTTCACACCTACAGAAAGACTTCATTTCACACATGCAGAAAGACTTCTTCAGAAATCTCACAGTTTTTAACATACTGAAAGACTTCATATTATCTCATCAGTTAATAAAATTATGATAACAGTAGAAATGCTTAGAAAGATTTTATTCTGTTTTCCATATACAATACAACTGTTATTTCGATTTTCTCTTCCCTATATTTTATTTAAAGCAGGT